ACTACTACTACTAGTACTAGTACTACTACTACTACCACCACCACCACTACTACTCCTACTCCTACTCCTACTCCTACTTCTACTACTGCTACTGCTACTGCTACTACTACTACTACTACTACTACTACTATAGGAGTATGCATCGATAGTTCAATGTTGGGAGGAGTTGATCCACTTTCCATTCCTCAAAATGTGCTCGTAGGGCCCCGGGCTGCTCCACAGCGCAGTGTACGGTGTAATGACTCCGAATCCTGAAAGCATAGCTGGTGCATTCTTTTGGAGTTGTTTTCGACCCTGCAGGTGCAACATTGGGGCTCTATGAGAAGGTTCTTGTTGGAAGGAATGCTGCGGCTGCTTCAGAAAACACATAGGAATAAGGTCCCTTGCAAACTTTGCCCGTCTAGACAATCAAATTCATCACTGTAAATGCATCGGAGTATATGATCCATTTTGAGAGCCCAAACTGTGTGCTGACACTGGCGTACTGGCCTGCGCGTTTCATTCCAAGCTCTCCGCTCTCGAAACCGCTGAAGCTCCACGCATGGGTCTTGCCGAGGACCACTTCACACCAGTGGGTGGCTTTATTGACAAGAGCCTGGTGAAGGATCCACAAAACCTGGAGCTTTACTGCCAGGTCAACGGCGTGGAGAGGCCGCGATGACTGGAGTTCCAAGTCTGGGTGAGGTCTGAGGTGATTGGCTGCGAGGTGTATTTGTCTGTTGGTTGAGCTTTGTCCTGCTCAGGCTGTGCTTGGAGTTTGGGTGTCCAAAGCGGTGCCCGTCTCTAAACCCTTGGTGATGGCCAGGCAGCGAGGCAACACCAAGGCCGGGCAGGGCAGTAAAGTCATTTGCACTTGAGTCACTTAGAGGCTTCGAGCTCCCAAGTATCGGCCAAGCGCTCATTCCTAACTCTAAAGTGCAGCCTCTGCTGGTTGGTCGGTGACCCCTCAAACCATTGCAGAAAAAGGCTTTTTTTGTGCTGGAAACTGGAGAGACGCCGCAAGCCCTACCTTCCAGCCGTGGACGCGGGATCAAATTAAACTCGAGTGACACTCATCGTAAATTTTTCCCAGAAGCCAGGACATGGTCTTCAATATTCCAAGCCTCATCTCCCACGTCAGCGCCATCTTTACCCTAGAATGTGGGGACGTCATTCTGCAGCTCCAATGGCACTAGGAAGGGGTAAGGTTTTGGAATATACGACAAGTAGGGTTTACAGGTTTCGTCTTTTGCAATTGTTTGCAGTCTTTCTTGGACTTGGGGCTTTACTGGTTTCCGAACTGTCTGCACAGAGTCTTTTCGGAAACGGATTCTGATGTCAAGCGATACTGCTGGCTGCCTGCTAAGGACTGGAACGCCTGACGGAGTGGGGCCGATTGAGGCTCTGTCTTCTAACTGGGACTTGATATATATATATATATATATTATTTATTTATTTATATTTATATTTATATTTATATTTATATTTATATTTATATTTATATATATATATATATTATGCTATATATACAAAGGTGAAGAGTCGTTTGTGGCTCATGCTTTAGCTGCTTGTATGGTGGAGTGTCATTTGGATTCGTGGCTTCGTTTTCCTTGACGTAGCGCTCCCAGACTTTTTGGCACTTCGCTGGTTGGCAGAACACTCTTCGACACTCCCCAAAGAAGGGTCGACAGGCGTCGGACTGTACCGCCTCATTCTACGATATCGATCAGCAGCATCGTCTTCTTCAGCGGCATCCGACATACGTCAAACCTCAGCTGCTGCATGCCATTTCTGAGCTGTGTGTTTGCAAAGCCCTCGCCGCATGCCAGGCCGGCGACAAGGTCGTTGCCGGCATTTCCGATCTTCCTGAAGCTGGGCTTCAGCCCCTTACCTGACCAATGTACCGTCAGTCTCGCCTGCAATCTTTGTGCAAGCAGAGCAATAAGCCCAGGTTCGATGTTGAGATGGACGACGAGTGAGATACTGCCGCAGTTTCTGCGAGCCTGCGCTGTACAAAGCCACATACGCCCCAATGCGAAAACGGAAAAATGGGGCAAGCCTCCAGATTCGCCGTGAAATACAGGCATGTGTACTGTCACTCTTGAACGGCACGTGCAGGCAGGCTCAGAGCCTGTGAACTCTACATTCTAATTCTACATATGAAGCGACGGCGAGGTAGCAACACTCCCATTTGCTTATTCGCAGATGCCTGAATTGCCTGAGGTGTTTGTTGTGTCTGTAGTCCGCTGCAGCATCACATGGATTGCCGTCTGCTGTGGCATGTTTTAAAGTTTTACCATCTCGGTGCAGGTCTCATTTGATGAGATTATGAGCCACCTCGATGGAAATTCGGACGGGAAGGCACCCGGTTCTTCAAGGGGAAACCAGTAGTAAAGTCATCAGTAGAAGGAGGGGCCGCAACAGCAACTACGAGCAGCAGAAGTAGTAGCAGTATGATCAGCTTCAAACATGTTGCGTGTCTAGGTGTGTACATGCACGTGTGTGTATACATATATATATATATAATATACACAAAGGCATAGTCTTGGACAGATTGGTGTGCCTGTCTATTGCCGGACAAGCACTGCAGTTAATCAGTCTCTTGTGCAAAACAATATAGATGCAAACGAGCACACGCATAGTCAAATGGATGAGACGCAGAGACAGAGAGAGAGAGAGAGAGAGAGAGAGAGCGAGCGAGAGCGAGAGCGAGCGACAAAAAACAAAAGCAACGGGCACATCACCAGGCAACTGCTACTGGCTCTACTCAATACTGTCGGCTCCTAAAACCTTGAACAGTACGGGCCGGCCCATAAGGGGTGCGGGCTCGTGACGAGGGCCTTAAGCCGTGGAGAAAGCGAGAACACAACAACTTTCAAAGAACGTGCCTCGTTGGGCGAACCCGCGCTGCCCTGCTTGTTTTGCCCCGCAGGTGAATACTTTGGATGAGGCCCGGCTCGATCGTATTGAAGCATTGCGGATGGTAGCGCTTATGAACAGAAGCGTTCAGGGCATCACTGGAGCCAGCATGTTCGTCGAAGAAAGATCGAACCATTGCTACATAGTTGCTTCTTGCCATCTTGTCTGCGGGGACCACACTGGAGCGCGTCGAGACGAGGGTCGAGGGTCAGTTGAGGTAGAGCATGGTGCAGACACAGTTGCGCTTTGCATTGGAACCCAGTTGCTGACTGTAGCTTCTTGCATTTAACGGAGATAAGCAGAAAATGTGAGGAACTCTCGCTGGGTTTTGGTTGGCGCACCCGTTCTCCAAACCAAGAGACCCCTGCACAGATCCGGACGCTTTTCTTCGGTGATATGCTCTCGCCTGCCGCTGCTCCCATGCGACCGTATGCCGAGTTCCTCGGCTGCAAAGCCTGCATTACCTGGTCCTCATTTCCGCACCTGTCCCCATTGTCGTTAAAGAACGCACTGACTTGTACTGGCCGGGGTGACAAGTGGGGGTTTCCGATAAGAGGGGACCCTAATATAGTACCCTNNATAAGGACCCCAAAATAAGGTAGCCTCATTTCCGGAAACTCCCAAGTGAGGAATTTGATTCACAACTCTCCAGGAAGACTTCGTGTGCCAATCGCACCATTAGCCGCACGAGATGGAAACCCTAGTCAAACGCATTGTATTTCACGCTTACAGGCGGCCGTGAGCAGGGAGTTTCGGCATTTCCTTTCACGGTCGGCATGCAGCGCTTTGCCGTTGGTCCTCTTGATACACAAAGTACTCGGCCTAATGTTGATATTGATATCTCAAAAAGGCAAAGAGATTGCTGCTGTAAATATCGAGCATGCCCTGTTGCTGCACAACTACAGACCTTGCCCGATGCCCTTTCTACCCAAAAAAAGCTGCAACTTCCTCAATAGACCGATTGTATCACCCAGGTGTCCTGATGTGCTGGTTCTTCAGAAGGACTCTGTAGCTTCTGTCATCGCAGCAGACCCAATAGCATTAAAGTTGATGAGTAATCGTCGGAGGAGATTGAAGCTCACCTCGTCAGCTACAACGAGATGTCCTCCAAGCCCATGGACCTCGTGTGTTTCCTCTACATGTGCCCTTGTTTGCATGCAGGGCTTCGGCCGTGAACTTGACATGCGCTTTCAATTAGACCGACCCCTTCTTTGTGCGCCAAAGCAAGATTCAAGCTTTCCTATGCTTCCTGAACCATGGTTTCTATAACAGTCATCGAGCGAGGTCACCTCCCTCCCTCGCCCTCCCTCCCTC